TGTAACGGTATCGTTCAGCTCGATCATATGCTTCTTGAGCTGCCAGAAGGTGTTGGTGAATACGATGGGATAGTACCAGGTGTTCTGACCACTTGCATCTCGTGCGCCGGTAGCCTCGAGTGTGATGAAACGCCTGGGACCGGGGTGCATGGCGGCATACTGCAAAGTACCCGCGTCGGGGATCAGCGAGACGGTGAAGTTGGGATGGTAGTAGGAGGATACAATCTTTGGCGCATTCTTCTCCTCCTCGGTTTCCACCTCGGCTCTTTCTGGCATATCGCTCAGCAAGTTCCTCGTCTTCGCGATCTTCTTCTTGGGCTGGTATTGGGACAATGGACGGATGAAGTGGTAGGCCTTGCTGTTGTCGTAGCCGGGCTGCGTGGGATCGAGCACGCTGCCACTCTGCGCAACGTAGAAGTGAGCAAGCAGAGTAGCATTATGCTGCACTTCGCTTGGGACCTTGAACTCGGTATGGATTTCTCTGTTCTCCTTGTAGTCTCCAAACTTGAAGTTCTTCTCCTCAATCAACAGCGAGTCCTTAGGCATCGATTTGAGTGGGGGCATTGCGACGGACGAGGAGATGTACATGGCGATGTCCATCTCAGTGCCGGCAGGCCACATGGGCGCGACAGCATATGGGATGTGGCTGTACTGAGCACCAGGGTCAAGAGATTGTGGGCGCTGCTCCCATGCGGGAATCACGACATTGCCAGCTGGTTTGACGGCGGCGACGGAGCCAGTTTGCGCGGGATCGTTGACGGCGGGGGCGGGTTTGGCAGTCTGGGGCATGAAGTACTTCATGCCCCCCTGAATGAGCAGGAACAGGCCCACGCTTTGCACAATGGACTTGACGAGCTATCAGGGAGCCGTCAGCTATCATCTCGGAGCAGAGGGGTCTTGTTCGCGACTTACACTCTTGCCCTCCTCGGGCGGCGCAGCGGCTGCTTGTGCCTCTGGCATGATGGCAACGTGCGGAACCTGAATTCCGGCTTGAGCAGCTTGTTAGGTGGAGAAGGGAGATGAACTCGCGATGAAGTCTGAACACATAATCTGGAGACTTTCCGAGGAATTGGCGGTTCCGCCGAGGGCCCGTGCCTGTCCCGCGTCAGGGTCTAGCCACATGGGCCTCGAGGTCCCGGCCCAGGTGGCGGTGACCTCATGCACCTCACCGAAATGCATACCCTTTGGAGCTTACCCTTTACCAAGGGATTGCAGCAATGGGTCGACGGAAATGCTGCGCAGAATGGTGCTGCCTAATATCACCTTGACGACCTCATAATGGGGCTACCGCTGCCTAAACCCCTCCTTCGTTGGAGATGCTCTTCTCAAGCTTCTGTCGCCGCCCCTCCTCAACACGTCAATAACTTTTGACAGCCCGCGTTCCGACTCTAGTTCCCTCGTTCCGAGCATCTCTATCAACCATCCGAACAACCATGGCGGAAAACAACGCAACAGCTAGCAATGGCTCTGCCAAGCAGCCCGTGGTTGCCGTATTGTATGTAGCGAGGACGCCAACCGATTGATGGAGCGAATGGCTAACTGTGATACAGCTGCGGCGCTTCCAGTGGCACATCGCCAGTCCACATGGAGGCAGCGAGGCAACTTGCGCATGCTCTCCACAAGGCCAACACCAAGGTCGTGTACGGCGGCGGCACTGTCGGCCTCATGGGCGAGGTAGCACGAACCCTCGTCTCGCTGTCGGGCCCCGACTCGGTCCACGGCATCATCCCCGGCGCCCTCACTCAACTCGAGCAGCACAACGACCTTGCCAACCCTAACGGCCACTCTATCGACGCAGACAAGTACGGACGCACTACTGTCGTCAAGGACATGCACACCCGAAAGCAGATGATGGCCCAGGAAGTTGTCAAGGGTGGGCCAGGCGGCGGCTTCGTTGCTCTGCCTGGCGGCTACGGAACATTCGAAGAGCTGATGGAAATCACCACCTGGAACCAGCTGGGCATCCACGACATGCCTGTCATCGTGTACAACGTGGACGGCTATTGGAGTGGTCTCATTGAGTGGGTCAAGAACGCTGTGACCAGCGGTTTCGTTGCGCCTACCAACGCTGGCATCATCTCTGAGGCTCTTAGCGCCGACGAAGTGATAACACATCTGAAGGAGTATCAGAGTGCGCCTGGACGCTTCAACTTGACCTGGGAGGAGCAGTAAAGGGTATGTGGTTAAAGGTTGCGGAAAGGCTCGATAACTCCACTCTTCAACCCCAAAAACTGGTTCAAGGCACGTTGGTGCTAGATGATTAGACAGAATCTCACAGGTGGACTCTGTGTTAGTAAACACATTCATGTAGATTAATTAGACTAGACTACAGATCAAAAGGTCAAAGAATCGTTCCCGTACTGAGCAAGTGAGCGTATCCGAACACTCTGGCCGCATATGGTGATCTCACCCGACAATCCCTACAAGCTGACGACATGTTCTGCAAAAGCTTTGCCGGCCCGAGCAACTTATCTTCGGCAATAAACATCGCGGAGCGAGGCTGGTGAGATTACATGCTTTAAAGAGCATGGTACCGGTGCTGTACGGAATGCCTAAGCCCGTTGAGGCAGGAGCGAAACCATGTCCGACGCGCGAGCCCATTTCATTCGACAACCCCGCCAAAAGTCAAGATAGTGACCTCAACGCGCGTATAATGACAAGCTTTGACAAGCCTTTTCCAAGACTGCTTAAATACGCTAGGGTAAGTTGCTCTCACACTCTTCTCACTGCTCTTGCGCCATTTGTCTGCAGCTCTCAGCATGTTTACCAAGTCGGTAGTCACGCCTTTGTTGGCGCTTTCAAGCCTCGCCCTACAGGCTGCTGCTGTCTCTCAGAAGCAGTGGACTAAGAGGAGCGACCACTTGTACTTGCCGAAAGAGACTAGCGACTACAAGACCGCGACTGCTCCGAACAATGTCACTATTCGGTACAAGAACCCTGGTATCTGCGAGACTACTCCCGGCGTGGACAGCTACTCTGGATATGTCGACTTGACGCCTGATGTATGTATTGATTCCAACGCGTGTATAGCGCTTTTCCTAATATTCTACAGGTCCACGTATTCTTCTGGTTCTTCGAGTCTCGTAACGACCCAGCCTCAGACCCGTTCACCTTGTGGTTGAATGGAGGTCCCGGATCTGACTCGCTGATCGGTTTGTTCGAGGAGAATGGACCTTGCATGATCGATGACAACCTCACCGCGGTGTACAACCCGTACAGCTGGAACAATGTCTCGAACATGCTGTACATCTCGCAGCCTGTCGGAACTGGTTTCAGCTACCAGAAGCAAGGTGTCGGAAGCTTCAACTCGTTCTCCGAAGACTTCCACTACAACTCTAGCGAATGGCCCGCTACTGGTCGATGGCCTCTGCTCGAACCGCTGAACACTGGTACTATTGATACTACGGATCTTGCCGCTGTTGCTGTGTGGGTGAGTAGAAATCTATCATTGAATGCCTTTAACCTGCGCTAATCACGTTCGATGCATCCAGCACGTTTTCCAAGCCCTCCTGGCCACCATCCCCAAGTTTGATGCCAAGCTTGGAGATCTGGATGCTGCGAGAGACTTCAACCTCTTCACTGAGTCGTACGGTGGTCACTATGGCCCAGCATTCTTCAGCTACTTCTACAACCAGAACCTGAAGATCGAGAACGGAAGCATGCCCGGATACCCACTCAACTTCAACTCGCTCGGCATAATCAACGGCATCATTGACGAGGCCATCCAAGCCGAGCATTACCCCGAGTTCGCTGTTAACAACACTTACGGCATCAAGGCGTATAACGACACCGTTTACTCGTACGCCAAGTTTGCGAACAACATGTACAACGGATGTCTCTACCAGATCGCCCTCTGCCGAGCCGCCGCCGAAGGCAACACCACCTACTACCACGCCGATGCAAAGATCACCGAAGCCGAGCTAACACCAGGCGAGATGCAGATCTGCAACGAAGCAGCAGACATGTGCCGTGACAACGTCGAATCTCCGTACTACTATTACTCAGGCCGCGGCGTCTACGATATCCGTCACACGTACGAGGACCCGACACCCCCCTCTAACTACGGCGATTACTTGAACCTTGCAGAAATACAGGACGCCCTAGGCGTTACCCTCAACTACTCTGGTAGCAATGGCATCTACTATGCTTTCCAGAACACGGGAGACTTCATCTACCCCAACTTCAGGCTCGATCTGGAGTACCTGCTGAGCCAGGATGTGCGTGTTAGTCTGGCGTATGGCGATGCTGACTACATCTGTAAGTTCTTCCTGCCCTATCAGGGTTTTGAGATTTCTGACATGTTCAGGCAACTGGTTTGGTGGTGAAGCTATCAGTCTTGCGATGGAGTACACTCACAGCGACGAGTTCCGTGCCGCAGGTTACGCGCCTATGATGGTTGATGGCACGGAATACGGCGAGGTACGCCAGTATGGCAACTTAAGCTTTGCGCGCGTCTACGAGGCCGGTCATGAGATTCCTTACTACCAGCGTAAGTTCGCTTGTTACCTCTGTCCCAGCCAGTCTGGTCAGACGACGTGTTTTGCTAACCTGACTTCTAGCTGTTGCCGCGTTGGCGTACTTCAACCGTACTCTTTACCACTACGATATCGCCACTGGCGAGGAGAAGGTCACTGCCAACCTGACATCTTCTGGCCCTGCGAATGCAACTCACACGCAATCATTCGTTCCGATTACGTCGTCCATCATTCAGGCTTTCCCTTCGCCTATCTATCCTGTGACGACATCGGCGTACTGAGTCGTACTGTCATCACAGAGGTCAATGTAGCCTTGGTCTTTATTGCGTTAGGCTTCACCAGAGTGGTGTGCATGACGATCACGAATGAAAAGAAGTTATGAATCAACTCTGCGTAGTATGCTTGAAGACTAGTGATGCGTCAATGACTTATTCCTAGTACCAAACAATTCATCATTGCTTGCCATTCCCCAGCCCAGCCCATCCATCGAAGAGGATACTCCACACGGGTTACTCGCCACGCTCATCAACGCTGCCTACAGATCTCAGCCTTGAACTCCTCATCATCCTTCCGCCATCCGATCCCAGCATCCTCACTACCAGGTCCCTTCCAGAAAATACTACCATCAGCATCATCGCGGATGGCCTCAATGATCCTATCCTGGTGGTCATCCTGCATCGTCGCCAACAGCGCCAGCTGCACCAACGACAAATGCCTTCGTACATCGTAATCCGGGTCGTTTTCGTCGGGCTTGAACATGTTGAGATCGATACCGAAGTCCCCTCGTAGAATGCTTTGGTATGTGCGTTCGATCATGGCGTCTGTCACGGGTGCATTTTTGGGTGTATAGGTACCTAGAGCCTCCTTGGGGAACTTGTCGGTCTGACCTGGTGGGGTGATCTTTGCGATGTCGATGGTCGAGTTACGTGAGGTGTCGATGGGAGGAGGTCGCCTCGTCTCTTTGGGGGTATGAGCGATCGAGAGTGGAGATTTGTCGAGGTCAGGAATGGTTCTCATCACATCAAACGTGACCGATGGGATAGCTGATGAGGATTGGTCAGCAGGAGTGGGGTTTTCTTGCATTTCAGACATGGTCGTGGGATGGATAATGAGTTGTAGATCCTGACTGTGGTAAGTCATCAATGTGAGTTCCTGTGCCTGCTGATATGTAGTAAAGAAGTTTGCTGAAAACACAGAACATGATACACGTTTGTGCAAACGATGCGTGGAACAATTTGTCGAGGCCTCGCAATATTTAGGCATCGACGCCGAGTGTGGTTAGAGGCCTTTCGTAGCAAAATAAGTCACAGGGAATCGGAGCGGATAGACAAACAGAACTTCGATGTCAAGGTCATCAAACAGCGTTTGCACCAGGATATGCCTGTACAGGCCTACATACGCCAGATGTGAACGCCAAACTCCATGCTAAATGTTGCAGATGCTTCGAGTGAACGTTTTCATTTCGACGTAGGGAGTGCGAACAGCTGAGGCTGCATATTGATCTTGCACAAGCGCGCAATACAGCCAGACAATTGCAGAAGGGTTTGTACGCCTTCAAGAATGCGCATATGGGTAAAGCCAATTTCCTGGTTGCTGTTAGCCTCTGTAAAAACCGCCCGTTGCGAAGCCTCACCTTAATGAATTCCAGTTTTGCGTGCTCACTCAGCGTGTCAATCGTCTTTGTAACTTTGAACATTGTGCTGATGATGTCGTGACACGAGTATCCCAGATCCCACAGCTCTTTCAGTGATGTCAGAGCATCGTCGATACGCTGCTCATGGCACGCCTTGATCATGGCTTGTACCTTGATGGGGTGCGGGCTGTCGACCACCCTAAAGACATTGTCGCCATTAACGAAGCCGAACCCAGCAAAAGTCGACTGCAGGTTGTTGATGGCTTGTCGCATATCTCCCTCCGCTGAGAATACCAGTGCCGCAATTCCATCGTCTGAGTATTTCACGTCCTCAGCTTCGCAGATCTGCATGACGCGGCGCACGACTTGCGCATCGGTAAGGCGGGCGTATCGGAGGATGGCGCACCTTGATTGTAGCGGCTCGATGATCTTGTTCGACTGGTTGCAAGCGAATGCAAATCGGGTTGTTGCACTGTATATCTCCATCGTCCTCCTCAAAGCTTGTTGTGCACCGCTGGTCATGCTGTCCGCTTCGTCGAGGATGACCAGCTTCTGCCTACCCGGGGGAAGTGTGACTTTCTTCTGCGCAAAGCCCTTTATCCTGTTGCGGACAACGTCTATACCACGTTCGTCTGAGGCGTTGAGTTCGAGGACAGCCTCCTTGTAGGCATCGCCGAGGAGTTGGCGTGCGAGACAGAGGATGGATGTGGTTTTGCCGATACCAGGCATACCGGAGATGATCATATGGGGCATGTTGCCGTCTTTGGCGATGATCTTGAGGCGCTCAATGGTTTCGGTATTGCCGACGACATCATCGAGGTAGACGGGACGGTATTTCTCTACCCTGGGAGGATGTCAGTCTGAACCAGCTGGCGAAGGCCACGAGCGGTGAATTACCATGGCAGCTCGTAGTTTGCACCGCCGGCCGCATTGGGGTTGGGTTTGACGCCATTGCTGGCGGCGGCTTTGGAGGACTCGGCTTTTGACATTTTGGGCTGTGGTGGTTGACTTGGAGGGGTGACGCGAAACACGCGATGCTCTGCAAACGCGCTTTCACGGGTCATCCGTCTTGGGACTAGTACTCACGTGAGCCGGGCACGATCGACGCGCAGCCGCGGCAGCGAGATATCATGCCCTTGGCGCTAAAGATAGATTCGTCCGACGCGACGTCACCTGCGTAGCACGATAGATCAGATCGGGATTTTTTCTCCAGATCACACACTGGCGTCGGTACGGATCGAGGCTATGTTCTTGCACATATTGTCCTGCACGCCTGTACAACGCATAGTACAAAATGATCCTCTCGGGGGATCTTCAGTTGGCATGCCAGATGGGCTTTCAGGTACCGACCGATGCTGCAGGTCCTGAGGTTTCAGCCCCAAACGTCTTTTTCGAGAGGCGCAGCCATCGAGCATCGGGCGCCTGAAGAAACCACCCGATCGCTCCGCAGTCGCTAACATACGGGCTATTTGCATTGCTTTAGTAGCTTGCGACATGGCGACGGCGTCAAGACACTGGGATCCTGGTGGTTGACAGGGTGACGTATGCGGCTGACGGAAGCGGTCCGCAACCTACCACGTCCACGCATGTCAGCGAGCTGTTGTGTAGAAGCAGCCCCAGACGTTTGCTGAGGAAGTTGTGAATGCTGAATGTCGTTGCAATGTTGGCCTTGTCGGTGCAGCCTTGGAGCGCGAACAAGGCGCAGGCGGCGCACGGCGGCAAGGGATGCCAGCATCGGCACCAAGCGCTTGGCTCTGCGATACAAACGAATCGTCTCGTAATCGAGGCAACGCCACGCCCTGCGGATCCCCCAGCAAGGCACACACAAGCCCCGTTGGCTGGCGACTTTAGGCCCGGAAATGGCGGCGGCTGCCCATGCTTGTTACGTGGGCAGGTGCACTAAAGGGCCACAGAATCCGTTACAGGTCCAGACTTGACCTCATCATACGCGTCGTCATCACAAGGCTCGAACGCCCCCTGCGCCGACTAAAGCCTCGCGCCTGCGCCTCTACTTCGCATCGACTGTATTCCTAGTCACAGCTCGTTTGATTCTGCTTTGTTGCTATTATTCCCTTGTCATCCTCTACTCGCACTGTGCTTGGACAGCGCTCCGCTTTTTGCGACTTCAATTGCAATCTCAAACACAAGGTTATTGCCGCCCTCACCCAACTCCGACCACTCGTGCGTCAGGTTTTACCAAGCCACACCAGGGATCCTCTCACTTCCGTGGTATACATCGATCGCACATCCCTAGGATCCTCTTCTCAGAAACCACATCATGAAGTACTCGACGTTCTTGGCGGCGCAATTGGCGTCGTCGGCTGTAGCAGTGAGGCTTGCACCGCGAGAGGTAAGTGCGACTCTTGGCACCCCAGATTCACTGCGAAGCGAATCCTCCCGCAGCGCCTCGTGCGCATCACAAGAGCTTTGTCGAATGCGATGCTGACTTTTCCAGAACCCAAGAGTAGTGCGCCTGGATACCCAGCGCCGAAATGTCAACCCCGTCGCACACGACCAGCTACGGAGACGGCAAAACGTTGTCCAGCAGACGCTTGACAACCTCGAGACACTCTACTTCGCCAACGCCAGCTTAGGCACCCCCGAACAGAACTTCCGCCTCCACATCGATACCGGCAGCAGCGATCTCTGGGTCAACTCAGTGAACTCGAATCTGTGTAGCCAAGGGGGCAACCAGTGCGGCGAATCGGGCACATACAACGCGAACGACTCTTCGACATATAACTACGTCAACGGCGCATTCAACATTTCATACGTGGATGGGTCAGGCGCATCGGGAGACTACGCAACAGACAACTTCCGCCTCGGCGGCCAGACAGTAGAAGACCTGCAGTTCGGTATCGGCTACGTATCGAGCTCACCGGAGGGTATCCTCGGAATTGGCTACACCATCAACGAAGTTGCCGTAGGACGCGCCGGATTAGAACCATACCCCAACCTGCCTCAAAAGCTAAAGGACGACGGTACTATCAACTCAAACGCATACTCGCTATGGCTGAACGACCTGGATGCGTCGACCGGAAGCATTCTCTTTGGAGGCGTAGACACCGACAAGTACTCGGGTGAACTACAGACACTACCAATTATCCCAGAGCGTGGACAATATGCCGAATTCATCATCGCTCTAACTGGTATGGGGCAGAACGGCGAGAACGGTTCTATCTTCAACGATTCCAACGTACCGGTCCTGCTTGACTCAGGGTCCTCCTTGATGTATCTTCCCGATAATGTCGCGAGCGCTCTGTACCAGACCTTCGGCGCCCAGTACCGTCCTTCGCAGGGCGCAGCCACTGTCGACTGCGACCTTGCGAATCAGGAAGGCTCGCTTGAATTCAACTTCTCTGGTGTCACGATCTCTGTCCCACTCAACGAGCTTGTCATAGTTGCTGCCGTTAGTCGTGGACAGCCCGTCTGCATACTTGGCATTGGGCCCGCGGGCTCCTCTGTCGCCGTTCTCGGCGATACTTTCCTACGATCCGCATACGTTGTCTACGACCTTGAGAACAACGAAATTTCCCTTGCCCAGACAAATTTCAACGCCACCTCAGAAAACGTCCAGGAGATTAAAGAAGGCTCTGACGGCGTACCCAACGCTACCGGTGTTCCGAACGCAGTGTCTACTGCCGCTGTCGGCACTGGCGGACCCAGAATCGATGGACCCAACATAACCGGTGGCGGTGGAATCCTGACCTCTACCGGCGCTGCCATGCCGGCCGCAACTGCGAACCCATGGGTTGGCGGTGCTGCGGTTGCGGGTGCGGGCATCCTCATGGGCTTCAACGGCTTCTGATGTGCGGACTACAATTTCCCTAATACTTGTCCAGCGTAATGAACTTTTCTAAATGCATACGTGCATCGTTGGCGTTATCAAGAGTGGCATGGATTACAACCTCTCGGTTAAGGGTTTTGCATATTCACCAATCTACCTGGAAGTAGGTCTGTTGCTTACATAGAAGCATAGCATTATCATGAATTTTTAACGTCTATTGCATCTTACAAAATCGCTTCTGGTTAGTGATGGTGAAAACCAATGTCGCGTTTGACTAGATGGTGACGACACCCGGGGCCTGACAGGACGCGTAGCGCCTGCCGCGTAATAGCTTCAACGCCTGGAATCACTAAGTCGCAAGTCGCGCATCATCACATGCATGAACACTTTTGACTCATCATGCCGCCATTCGGTATTTCCGCCAATAGCTGAAAATGTCTACGTACAGCCGCCTTCATGCTGCAAGCTCCATACGCGTTCCCTTCGGCTTCAACTCTAACCGAAACTACGTCCTAAAAAGGTCGTCCACGTCAATTTGAGCCTCTCCCTCCACCTACTCCATGTTCGCTCTCGTCATCTCGCTGCTTAGGTTAGAAATCTCGCCACTGTCCAACGTCAAGATTCACAGTCGTCGACGTACCTGGTCTCTAAGACGATCCTTCCGCTTCCGAAATACGATCTAGTGGATGTAGATGATGTACCCGCGCATTTCTAATTGGCGGTTCGAAAGGCAACGGCTCTGATATCTAGTCAATATCCGGACGTCTCTGAACCAGGTGTCTGATTTAGGTTGTTTAACTTGTAATTTAATAGGTGTTCTTAGTGTAGTAGCGAAGGCAGCTATACTATAAGTGTAAATCCCGTAATGCTATAGTTGCCTATTTCTAGAGTATAAAATTCCGCGCAGGTAGCGCTTAAATTCTTTTATAATACTCTAAACATTATCTTTGTTATAAAAAATATACAGCTAATCTATACACTTACTAACGCTAGCAACCTTGCGTATAAAAAATACAAATTAGCTACCTTATTCTAGAACCTAGTCTAATAGTAAAATAAGACACCTAGGTATATTACTACTTATTATAATACTAGTAAGCCTAACTAGAGGAAATACTAATATAAGATAGAAGCTCTAATCTATAAGTAAGCTAGAGCTAAGTCTCTCTTTATACATTTTATAGTAACTACGCTAGTAGAGGTCTACATCTTTATAAAGTAGAAATACAAAGCTCTTACCTACTTCTATAACTTTGTAATTAGCGCTTTTAATACTAGTATAATAATTCTTTTAATTTACCTCTAACTAAAGGCACTAGGCAACTCTAGCTAGAAAAAGTATAATAATACTGCAAAGGAGATCTTACTAGAATTATAACTAAGACTATAAAGGTAGAGAATACTTTTCTATAATAGAAGATAATTAGTTTATAATAGTAGTAGAGATACCCTAGAACTAGACGAACGATTAGTGTGATCTTGATGCCTGACACCTCTGCAGCGTGATGCCAGACACCGGGGGCGACGTCTCTGAAGCTCGATGCCATCCCTCCCTAGCGTCTGATCTGTTGCGGAGGGGTCAGCGTTGGAGGCCTGTTGTGATGAAGTAGCCGCTGGGGGAGGCTGTGTTGAGGGATCAGCGAGTTGTGTATGAGACGTACTTGCAACGTTGCTGTTTTGCTGTCCTTGTAACGTTCGTTGGGCCCACCGCTGTTGAACGTAAGTGCAAAGCCGTACTACTGCGTTGCGTAGGATGTTCCATAGACCGGGGAAGACTTTTGGCCTGTAGTGGTGTAATGCCGCGATGGTAGCAATGAGGACGAGGAGGACTGAGGGGATGAATATCTCGTAGAACATCTTGTTGGGCATAGTTACTGAACGGCTAGGTTGGTGTAGGATCTTTCTTGTCATGGCGGGTCTGTAAGGGAGTAGTTATAACAGACTGATTGATTGCTTGATGGAAACTATTCAATGTTTGCTTCAACGAAAGGGTGTTCTGGAGACTACGAGGATGGACAAGAAGTGCGTAAGATGAAAGAATGAGATGACCAGCGACAAGGAAGAACGATAGATGGGTAAGGAGAAGATTCCATAGATCTGATTGTCATCCACGCCCATTATCAGACTGCATCATTCGCGTTCTTACCACTGTACTTCTGCTGGCCGGCGTGTATGAGCTGTACCGCACCCTCGTTACTTTTCGCGCTGCCACCTTTGTCCTTCTTGAGATACCTGCCAATGTATCCCCTCTCACCCCAAAGATGAAAAGGATCGACCAAGCCGTTCACTACTCCTCGCTTGTTCTTCTTCTTTTCTGCCCGAGCCGCCTCTAACTCCGCATCGCTCATATCCCAGAACTGTGTCTTCTTATCTCTCCCCTTGAACAGACCCCAAATATCAAAAGGGTCGAAGATGGTAATGATCCACGGTCTGTCATCACCCCAGCCTGGTCCTTTCCGTTCAGTCACGCCATCGCGAGCCAAGAACACCGAGTTGGAAGGAGGTAGTCGTTTACCCGGATGCCACAGATTGAGTAAAACGGTGTTGAGAAACATAATGACAGCTTCGAAGATCCAGAAGTAGATTTCGTTCTGATATATGGAGGACTCCCAGCCGAGGATGTATTCCACAAGGCGGTATATGCAGCGTATTGTGACGATACTCGCACTCACGTACATGACGTACAGTACGACGCGTAGATCCTGCTTTAGTACCCCGGCGTTGTTGGCGCGCCGATGGAATTGTGCAGCGAGAAGACCAAAGGCGCCGAAGAGTGCTGCCTGGAGACAAAGCGATGCGGTGACGAGATCTGAGCCGAGTTGCCGTTCTGCATCGGTAGAGCTGGAGTTGGCCATGCGCCATGCACCCTGTCCGATGAGAATCTCGCATACGCCGTCGAGGCCTATGAAGGTCGTTGCTACCCGCCCTGGGTGAAGAGGTGCCAGGTAGGGGATATAGTACAGGAGACGCGACAGTATGAAATAGTTGATGAGCGCGTATACCGGCGGCCCGGACATGACGAGAACGGTCGAAGCTATGAGGTATGCTAGATTGTCAGTGTCGTAAGCGCCTGCGAGACGCACTGCGAAGCCGCTGATCATCAGAAGAGCGGCCCATGGCAGAAGGACTGTCGTTCGCCATGACTTGTGCTTGCTGAGAGATATCAGTTGTGCGCGACTGCGACTATCGAGGTGTTTACATTGTCTGCCACGCATGTAGCGCTCCGGAGATGGAGAAGAGGATAATGAAGAGTATGGGCGCGGCTTTGTTTGGTGCATAGTACCAGATGCTGCCGGGTGAGTAGTCTCCTATTCCCATCTTGAGAACGATGAGTACGATGTCGCGCCGATAAACCGATGGATGACTTAATTCGTGTAATTGATGAGACAAGCTGTCCGAAAGCCAGAGAGGCAAGGAGCCGTTGCTGCACAATGAGGGACGAGGACAATATACGTTCAGGCTTCAAATACGTCCAGATAGAATCGCTAGCATGCTTACCCTTCGACACATTGGCCACGACATGGGATTTATGAGATAAAGCTCACGACAACACGTCCAAATGGCGCAAACTCCAGGCCCCTCACGGAAAGGCCAATGCGATGAATGCGACGCTCAGCTGAGGCATTGACACGACTTCACAAGGCATAGCACAGGGCTGAATGGGCGCATCTGCCCATCGGTAGCAGGGTGAAGCGAGACCGTACGGCTGTTGACCGGTGATGAGATGGTGGGAAACTTGCGCAGCGACTGGTTGATGGAAAGACGCTCACACGTGATCCATAGATGTGGCGGAGGCCTTTGACGAGTCTTTACCGGATTCGGATTAGTCCAGGCTAGCGGTGAAGCCGCCGAATGCGCAACGTACATCTCGCGACGGCATCATTACCCGCGCACTCAAGCAAACGACGTCCATCACATAATTCGCCGTTATACCGATAATCCCATCGTGCACGTTTCATGAGTGTGGCTGGAAATGGTGCGCCAGCCCTGGGTGCCACAGAGGATGGTTCTAGGCAAACCCCAGCTGAACCTACGGTGATGGATGGGCTATCGAGCTCTAAAGTGACGGGTATGCACCCCTGCAACTTCAACACCCCTATACTCATACTTCACAGTCGAGTACCATGACCCTTCTGGAGTCTTTCCATTGATACAGGAAGACTTGGCTGCGCGATTGCCCCTTCGTAACTTGCACTGGAAAGCTCCTACACGTCCACTAAGGTCTATCGACTCCTTACATGTTGATCTCGTGCCCAGTAAAGAATCAGCACAGGCTGCAAGTGCGGCTTCGTCGACTTCAGCACCTGGCCAAGGTACGCCCAATAGGAACACGGATGAAATCTTCAGGCCGGTTAACAAAGAGAAAGAGAGACGGCATCAGATCCCAGGACTGCGTCAAACCCCTTATCTGAAGGTCTATCTGTTGAGATGTGACGATTCAGAGACTTACAAGGCGACTGCCCGTAAGCAGGTCCGCGAATGGGTGAAGGAACACACCCCACCTTCTCAAAGCAGTACGGCGAACACGCAGGAAAATCATGATGCGTACGAATGGTTGATCCTACATGTGGTAGTGCCCGAGACGCCGGCAGCAAGCCAGCCTCGTGGATCCTCTAATACTACAACCGGTGAGAAGGAGAAGTCTGGAGCAGCATCTAGATGGACGCGCGGGACGACGACCTTGCTGGAAAAGCTTCGCGCCGACTTCAATGTCTCATCAAAATCGGCACCCGACCGGGTAGCTCAAATACGAGTGCCAAAAGAGAAAGTTCCGCAGCACATGCTTCCAGCTGCTGCACCTGCCGCCACCCCTGCTATTACTGAGAGCATCCAGGAACAAGAGCGTGCTTGGGCTGATGTCATCGCTAAGTTCAAGGTATTGATCCTTCTTTCGTTTGACCTCCGGGTGAGCCAGTATGAAGAAGACATTCGCAAGAATGACGCTCAGCGCTCGTTTCCTGGTTGGAACTTCAACACATTCTTCATCTTGAAGGAAGGGTTGGCAAGAGGCTTCGAAAGCGTAGGTCTGGTCGAAGATGCGCTGCTTGGCTATGATGAGCTTTCCATCGGTCTTGATAGCGTCATACGTGACCAGTCGAGCGAAGACGCGCAAGGAAGCGTTTTGCTCAGCTATTCGGACGACATATATCAGACAGCAGCAGAGATTGCACAGCAGGATGGTAATGATGGATCGGGTCCATCCATACACGATGATAGGCCGATCAACGCTTTGAAGAAAGACTATCGCGGTCTCATCCTTGCAAACAACATTTCGATCTTCGACTTCAGGCTCTACATCTTCGCTCGCCAGATGTTCTTGCTCTTGAGGCTTGGAAACTCAGTCTCAGCACGTTCCGACCTCGCAGCCAAGCTACAACCTCGACCGAATGCCGGCGTGATACAGCGCTCGGCTGATGACAGCACTATTGGTATGAAGTCGGGCGGCCAAGGGAACGACTCAGAGGATTTGTTCTCTCTCGCTGAACTCTGCTCGCGTGCACTAAACTTCATTACCTTTGCTGGGCGGCTCTTGCGAGATGATCTAATTCACGGGTAAGTCCATCTACATCTAGTAGTCAAGACACAGCACTAATCCATCGCTGTAGGGCGAAAGCTCACGATACCACATTCCCTGATCATCTCGTCGAGAACATCGTTCGTTCGTGGACTTTCGCTGCGCTGGAACAGGTCTTGCGTGAAACATCTACAGGATCTCTTCCATTTACGAAGTCCTCTGGAAACCTATCGGCAGGCTCTTCCGGCAAGAGCCTTTCGTTTGGTGGCCGCAACAAAGAACAAAAGATGAAGGTCTCAGAACAGAAGTCCATGATCCATCCATCCAGATCGACATCTCTGAACCATGGGCGACCAGTATCAGACATGCCATACTCACAACCCGCAGCCAATGCCCAAGTCGTATTCGAGAACGGCCAGTATCACGATCGACCACTACCTGGCCAACAGAGCACGATCCCTTCTGCTAAGAACGGCCTGCAGGAGCTGGCTGGTACGAGAGCGCAGCTTCTCGCAATTCAGCGACGTTTGCTCGAACATGCAGGCAAGAGCATGGGCTGGAATATTGGCTGGAATGCTATATTGGCATCGCTGAGTGCTAAAGAAGAACTCACTGAGGTTGATCTAGAAGACGAGGAAGAGGAAGAGGATGAATCAAAGCAGAACCAGTCTCGTACCGAAACGGAAGGGGAAGCTTCGAAGTCACGTCTCGGTATATCTGCCGCAGCGCTGGTCACTGCGATGACATCCATCAAGCAGTTCCGACAATTCTATGAGGTCAGAAGACATGATATAACCCCGCATGAATTTGCTAACTTTTACAGGGTTTGAGTGATCTTATCGTCAAGCACTATATGGCCGCAGGCCAGACCAAGTCAGCAGAAAGCGTGCTCGGGGATCTGGCTGCCCTCAGGTTGTATGTTTGCCACTTCTCAGATTACATCAGGCCTAATACTGATATCACTATAGTGAACTGGGTGACTTCGCGGCAGCCGCCATGTACTTTGGACGTATGGCATCGTACTTTGCGGAGAGCAGATGGAACACGGTCGAGACAACCATGCTCAAGATGCACGCACGCTGCCTCAAGAAACTCAACCGAAAAGATGAATATGTGCGGACGGTACTTGATCTCTTAGCCAAGTCTGCGGCGAGCCGAATGGCGTTCAAGAGTGCCTCAAAACGAGCCAGTACAACCGACGCAGGGGACATGCCCGGTGTCTGGCTGAACGACGACAAAGTGGACACTACTGACGTATTCCATGAACTCATCAGCTATTCGCAACAGCTACCCTATGATGTCACAGTCCAGATGCCGAAGTACTTTGGCGACATCTCGGTAGAGCCGTACGTTC